CAGGAAGGGAAAAATGAAGAGGGGGAATCAGAGGGGGAGACAAACCATGAGAGACTATGGACTCTGAGAAACAAACTGAAGGTTTTAGACGGGAAGGGGGTGAGGGGATGGGTTAGCCCGGTGATGGGTATTAAGGAGGGCACATATTGCATGGAGCACTGGGTGTTATATGCAAACAATGAATCATGGAACACTACATCAAAATAATGATGTAATGTATGATGACTAACGTAACATAATAAAATAAAATAAAATAAAATAAAAAAAGAACTGTTGCTCTGTTCTCCTTTCCCTTCCAATCTCCATTTCAATGCACATATGTAAAAACACATGTCAAGGAAATTAGAATGTTACTTGTTTTGGGTACTTCTAAATATAGATGCCTGATATACTTTTATTCATCTGAGTATTTTTTCCTTTCCCTAGTAAGATTATTGCATAACTATTTCATACTATTCATATATTAGTTCACATACTTATTGAGCTTTTGTTCTGTGCTAGGCACTAGGGATATAATGGTAAAAATAAACTTTATGAGGATTACTTTGTAGTTGAGGATTCAAAAAAAGTGCTAAGAAAGAAATGGGGGTGGAGACATGTAACTGGGAGCTCCTTTAGTTAGGGCAGTCTAGGAAGTCCTCTGAGGTTATATTTCAGCTGAAACATAATGGAAGAAGTTAGCCATGTAAAGAGAGAAATAGGTATATATGTACATAAAAAATGTGTGTGTGTGTACATACAGTGTACATATATGGAAGGAGGCGAGGTAGATGGGGGACATTCCAGGTAGTAGGGAAAGAGCTTGGCAGTATCGAGAGACTGAGAAAGACTAACAGTGTAGCAGCAGTATAGCAAGCCAGGAGAGTACCATGAAATAATGTTAGATGGGTTGGAGCTGGATCATGCTGGGAATTATTAACCAGGATAAAGCAATTTGGAATTTATCCTCAGTGAGAAGCTGCTGAAGAATTCAAAGCAAAAGAGTGCTATTTCATTAAATCAAATCTTCAAATTATTTTTTTAAACAGTATTTTTTAAAAGATTTTATTTATTTATTAGAGAGAGTGTGTGCACTGGAGGGGCAGAGGGAGAATCCTGAAGCAGATTCCCTGCTGAGGGTAGAGCCCAAGGTGGGGCTTGATCCCAGGACCCTGAGATCATAACCCGAGCCAAAATCAAGAATCAGCGGCTCATCAATTAAGCCACCCAGGTGCCCCCAAATTATTTTTTAAATATTTCTTATTTTTTGTTTTTTAAAACAGTTTGGGGGTTGGGAGGGAATCGCTGCGGCTCCCCCCCCAACTCCCGTCCCCCTCGCGGGTCACCAACTGCCACTGATGCCCAGGTATGGGCCGACCCTCCAGCTCCATCCATTTTCAGGGCTAGTTGATTTGGCAGGTGAGCTGTTACACACTCCTTAGCGGACCCAAATTATTTCTTAAAAGGGGAATGGATGGCCTGGTCAAATCTCCTTATGTCCTACATAAAATCTGCTTTATGAAATAGGATTTACATATAAACAAAATTTCTTTAAGGACACAGACACCCTACAGTTTGGCCGGGGTGGAAGAGACAATCAAGTCAAACAAAGAATGGTTGAAGAAATTGGGAATATTCAGCCAGAAGATAGGGATGATACCTGAGGATATGGTTCCAAAATGTAAGACAAAAGTCCAATTGGATGGAGACAAATTTGGGCTCCATAATACAAGAAAGAACTTTTGAACAATTAACATTCTTTATAAAAATTAGATGGGCTTCTTCCAGAGTCAGTGAAATAGAGGTCAATGAAAATGGTTAAGCTAGGGCGCCTGGGTGGCTCAGTTGGTTAAGCGACTGCCTTCGGCTCAGGTCATGATCCTGGAGTCCCGGGATCGAGTCCCGCATCGGGCTCCCTG